GGAATAATTTACATTTTCACCAATAGTATAAAAGGCTTCCTTCCCCCTGTTCTCTATTCTCATCACCATTCATTGTTTTTTGATGGTTGCCATTCTGACAGGGATGAGATAGAATCTGGGTGTTGTTTTGATTTGTGTTTCCTTTATGACGAAGTGCGTTGAACTACTTCATGTGTTTAGTGGCCATTTGTATTTTTACTTTTGAAACCTTTCATTTGTCTATTAATTGGATTTTTCTTTCTTTTGGTGTTTAATTCTTTGAGATGTTCATGTACCTAGATATTAATTACTTGTTAGATGAATAACTGTCAAAGTTTTTCTGCTATTCTGTAGATTGTCTGTTTATTCTGATAATTATTTTCTTTACTTTGCAGCTTTATAAATTGGATGCAGTCTCACTTGTCAGTTTTTACTATTATTTCCTGAGCTGTAGGAATGTTATTTAGAAATTTTTGGTCTTATGTCTTGAAGTGTTTTCTTACACTTTCCTGTAATAGTTTAAAAGTTGCAGGTCTACTAGGCCAATGCCCCCTACCAGCAAGAAGTAAAGACTGACTTTGACTCCTCATTCCCTAGAAGATACCAGGTTTTCTCAGAGTCCCTGATTGGGAAATGATAGGTACCAGTTAACCTGGAGCAATGGAGAAATGTAAAGGGTGAGATCACAACATCTCTGGAAGAGAACATTTATAATTAAACATTCCAACCAGACTATGACAAGAGAGCTGCTATGCTTTCAGACATCACATCTATACCAATGATTGAGTTACCCAATAAAATATACTCTACCTAGTTAAATTTTGAGTTTTAGAAATCAATAAATATAGTTTTTCTAGTGTAACTATATCCACAAAATTACATAGGCTACAACTTCTACTAACTCATACTTACACTAAAAGTTATGTTTATCTCAAATTCAAATTCAACTGGGCATGTTATCTTTTTAAAAATATAATGTTATTGTTATTATTAAATTGTTGTACCAGGGGGTTACTGTTTTATAAGTCAGATAATGAGTACAAATTTTTTTTTTGGGTCCTGTCGTGGGGCCTGAACTCTGGGCCTGGGTGCTGTCCCTCAGCTCTTCAGCTCAAGGCCAGCGCTCTACCACTTGAGCCACAGTGCCACTTCTGGCTTTTTTCTTTTTGCTTATGTGATGCTGAGGAATTGAACCCAGGGCCTCAGGCATGCAAGGCAAGCGCTCTACCACTGGGCCACCTTCCCAGTCCATTAGTACAATTTTTTTTGGACAGTGTCACCCCTTCTCTTGATTTCCCCCAGTTTCCCCCTCCTGTCCCTGCCCACAAGTTGCATAGTTCATTTTCCCACATAGTGTATAGCAAGTTATCTTCTTATGTGTTACATCAGTAAATCATACATAGGAAGGAAGAGGGAGGAAAAGCAAAGGGGTTTTCTTCTGTGGAGGATTTGTTCAGGGATGAGCTCTTTTCCCAGTTTCTGTCTATCACTTTAGCCAGAAATAGCAGAAGAGTACCTGGGAGAAGGGATTATTTTTAGTTGGCCATAAGTGCTTTCCTGAATCAAATCAGAGTGGAAAGGGGATGAATATCAGGCAGGTTGCTTGCAGCATCCTTCACAGCTCTCTTAGTCCCCTTTCCTATCTCCCCATCTTCTAATGGTGAAAATCTGTAGCAACTCATATGGTATTGCCATTGGCCAGAGTGGATAGACAACCTTGAAGACTAAACACCTGCCATGAACACTAGCCATGCTAGTCATAGTGATGGATACCAACCCCACTAAGTATCTCATTCAGTTTCTTTTAAAATTTATTATGACTATATAAATGTTACTCACAATTGAGTATAGGATCCCAGTTTACTTTTTCTTTTCTGGCTCTTTATTCTTGATAGGTATTTGATGATCTTTCAAAAACATCAGGACAATTTTTAGGTTCAGGTTATATGTGTGTGTGTGTGTGTGTGTGTGTGTGTGTGTGTATGTGACAACCTGGTATCTGAAGCCTGCTCTAAGTTGCCCTCATCACAGCTGCAGAACTTCTATGACTTCTCTTTCTAGTCTTTTATGTACATATTGTTTTCCAGGTTCTTAGTGCTACTTCATCTTGCTGGAGTTCTTCCCTCAATCATCTAAGGAAGTAAAGTTTAGAGACATATTACATCTAAAAATACTTCTATCGTCACATTTGGTTGGTAGTTTGGTTGGCGCTGGAATTCAAAGTTGGAAATAATTTCTTTTACAGTATTTCTCTTGATAATATTGGGGTTTGAATTTAGAGTCTCACCCTTGCTAGGCAAGCTATTACTTGTGCTACATCGCCACCCCCCTCCCCCGTTTTTTCTATAGTTATTTTTCAGATTAGGTCTTTTGTTCTTGTATGGGGCCTGATGCAACCACAGTTCTTACACCTATGCTTCTTACATTGTTTGTATTACAGACATTCAATACCACACCTAGCTTATTTGCAGAAATGGGGTCTTGCTAACTTTGAGGTCTTTCCTGTGCTGGCCTCAAACTGTGACCCTCTAGATCTCCACCATGTGAGTAGATGGCATTACAGATGTGAGCTACCATATCTGCCCCCCCCCCCCCTTCCCATCTTTTTTCCTTTCCTTTTCCTTTTGGAGGTGTGATTGCATTGTTTTATAATGTCAACTGTAGCTACTGAAATGTTACTAGTTTTTATGTCTTGTTCTTTGTAGGAGACTTCTGAAAAATTTGAGATCTCTTTATTAGCTGGGCATAATAGTACATCTCTGTATTCCTAGTACTTGGAGTATAAGGCAGGAGGATTGAGAGTTCAAGGCCAACTTGGGCTACATGAAAAGATGGGGTAGGAGGATCCAGGCTCTAGTGGTTCACACCTGTAATTCTAGCTGCACAAGAGGCTGAGATATGAGGATTGAAGTTTGAAGCCAGCCCAGGCAGGAAAGTTCATGAGTCTCTTATCTTTAATTAATCATCAAAAAGGCAGAAGTGGAGGTGTGGCTCAAGTATAGAACACTAGTTTTGAGCACAGACATTCAGGGACAGTGTCCAGTTCAAGCCCCAGGACCAACACAAACAAAATAGGGGTCATATGTGGCATTGGACACCTGTAATTCCAGATATTTGGCCATGGCAACAAGATTGAAAGTTCAAAACCAACCTGGGCAAAGTTAGGGAGAACCTATCTCAGAAACAAAAAATACAAAAAGTGCTGTGAGTATGACTCAAGAGTTAGAATGTTTCCTCTGGGTGTAGCCCTTAGTACTTCTACTCCTCCCCCCCCGTCCTGTTTTTCTTTATCCATGATGTTTTAACACTTCATAATGTAAAAGTCTTTTTTTTTTTTTTAGTCAGTCATGGGGCTTGAGCTCTGGGCCTGGGTGCTGTCCCTGAGCTCTTCAGCTCAAGGCAAGAGCTCTACCACTTGAGCCACAGCAGCATGTTTTCTGGTGGTTAATTGGAAATCAGAGTCTCATGGACTTTCCTGCCTGGGCTGGCTTTGAACCCCAATCCTCAGATCTCAGCATCCTGAGTAGCTAGGATCAGGCAACCAGTGCCTGGCTGAACATCTAAAATACTACTTATTAGAACAAATTCCTAGCCAGGTGTCGGTGGCTCATGCCTATAATCCTAGCTAACAGGAGGCTGAGATCTGAGGATTCTGGTTTGAAGCCAGCCTGGACAGAAAAGTCAGTGAGACTCTTATCTCCAATATACTACTCAGAAAAAGCCAGAAGTGGTGCTGTGGCTCAAGTGGTGGAGTGCTGGCCTTGAGCCAGCATGAGTTCAAGTCCCAGGACTGGCAAACACACACACACACACACACACACACACACACACACACACACACACACACACACAAATTAAAATAGATATTCAGAGGAGTTATGCCTTTGGGTTCCTACCCTATTGTATCCTATTTTAATATGTTTGTATGTGAATGCATAGAGTCCTTCAACAAGCTTTTTCTGTAAGAAAATTCAAATCCTTCAGTTAAGGGAAATATTCTCATCTATCCCCTTGATAATTTCCTCTTTTCTTTTTTTTGAATATTTTTTTATTGTGAAAATACTGTACAGAGGGGTTACAATTACATGGGCAAGATAATGAGTACATTTCTTATCAAGCATTATAGCCTCTTCCTTTGTTTCTCCTTCCCATCCCTTCCCATCCTCTCCCCCCCACCCCCATCCAATCCTCCCCCCCCCAAAGTTGTAAAGTTCGTTTTCGACATAACTCTCCTTTCTTTTTTATGATCTCTTTCTTTCTCCTTTGGGAATTTCTTTACTGAGATGTTTATGCCTCCTGGAGTGATTGACTTTCTTGTCTCTTCCTCCTCCTCCTCCTCCTCCTCTTTCTCCTCCTTCTCCTCTTCCCCTTCTTTGTGGACTTGAATTTGGGATTTGAATTCAGGAATTTGCAGTTCCAAGGCAGGCACTCTACTACTTGAGTCATGCCTCCCACACCCATTTTTGCTTTTGATTGTTTTTTGAATAGGGTCTCATTTATGTCCTGGCTAGTCTAAGGTCCTCCTATTTATGCTTCCTGAGTAGCTGGGTTGACTGGATGTGTCACCACACCCAGATATTTTATTGGTTGAGCTCTGACTCCTCAGTATCTAGGATTATAAGTATGAGCCACCATGCCTGGCTTGATTCTTCTTTTGTTTTAGTTTTCTTTTTTCTTTTTTTCCGTGTGTATTATGATCTCCCACTATGAGTAGTTCTTTCTTTCTTTCTCTCTCTTTCTTTCTCTCCTTCCTTCCCTTCCTCCTTCCCTCCCTCCCTTCCTCCCTCTTTCTGTCCTTCCTTCCTTCCTTCCTTCCTTCCTTCCTTCCTTCCTTCCTTCCTTCCTTCCTTCCTCCCTCCCTCCCTTCCTCCCTCCCTTCCTCCTTCCCTCCCTCCCTCTCCCCCCCTCTCTCTTTCTCCCTTTCTCTCTCTCTCTCTTTCTTTCTTTTTCTTTTCCATTTCTTCTTGAAATCCTGCCCTTTTTACTACATACATTTTGAGGCTGCGTTTCTCTTTAGAGCCATGAAGGTGGAAGAGGAAAAGGCTGGGGTAAGAAAGCTGGACCCCACAAGCTACAAAAGAAGACATCCAGTTCAAGGTAAAGACATTTTGAACACTTGATGCAAATCCCAGGAAAGTTTGAGAATTCGTTGGTGTTTTTATAGCAGCACTTTCAGCTGGAGGTCCTGGAGAGCTGGTTTCTTTCCTTGACTTACCACGTGGACTTCTTCAAACTGATGGGACCTGCCTTTTACTGTGTCTTAAAGGGACCATGTCACTGGGTAGGAGACATGAAACTGGCACTTTGCCAAGATTATAGGTTTCCTAACACAAATTCACATGATTTTTACCAATTTGCAAACCATGATTAATGTCAAATAGCAACATTTAGTAGATTTTGAAAATGGCAGCACAGTTAAAACAAGTGCAATTTCTGTTGGTACAGAAATTTTGACTCTGAGCTCTTCTGTACAGATGGACCCCTCATTTAACAATGGTTTGACTTGATTTTTTTTTCAGTTTTATGATGATTTGAAACCAGAGGTAGGTAGTACCTACCTACCTTTGATCTTGCTGGGTGCCAGTGGCTAATGCCTATATTCCTAGCTACTCAGGAGGCTGCCGAGGATTTCGGTACAAAGCCAGCCTGGGTAGGAAAGTCCGTGAGACTCATCTCCAATTAACCACTGAAAACCAGAAGTGGCACTGTGGCTCAAGTGGTAGAGTGCTAGCCTTGAGCTGAAGAGCTGAGAGACAGTGCCCAGGCCCAGAGTTCAAGCCCCACTACTGACCAAAAAAAGAATTTTTTAAAAAAAATCTTTACTTGGGCTAGCTGGGCTGTTGGAGCTCACTACAGCTCACTACAGAGGGCTTCTACAAGGGGAACTCCCAGATATGCTCCAAGGTGCTGTGTGGCAAGATACTTCAAGCTTAGGTGCTTTAAGTGCATTTTCAACCTAGGATGTTTTCAATTTCTGAGTAATTAATCTGGGACATAACCCATTGTAAATTGGGAAGCATCTGTACTTTACAGAGAAGCAGCCACAGGGCTGCTCTTCTAAAGAAGAGGCAATCTGTTGGCCTGCTAACCTAGCATTACCATAGCCCCACTTGAAAGAAGTACTGATCTTATTGCCCAGCAGATGCTTGTTGAACTGAGGAATGTGTAGGGGCTGTTGATGGATCAAGAGGAATGAAGTGAGGAGTTCCTAGAAGAGCTTGGCATGAGTCCTGAGCCAAACTCTCCTGATGCTGCCAGAGAGGAGAGGATATGTAGAGAGTTTGGACTTGAGGTGAGGTCTAGCCTTTCTCCACAGTTCACCAGCTGAATAATCATGCACTAATGATTATGACAGGAGCCAGGAACAGATAAGGTTATATTTGGGACTGAAAATAAAATATTTCCTTGAGAGCTATTTCTGGTGTCCTTCCTTCTTTCCCTTCCTTCCTTCCTTCCTTTCTTTCTTTTTTTGGGTCCTGTCAGCTCTTCAGCTCAAGGCTAGCGCTCTACCACTTGAGCCACAGCACCACTTCTGGCTTTTTTCTTTTTGTGTATGTGGTGCTGAGGAATCAAACCCAGGGCCTCAGGCATGCAAGGAAGCGCTCTACCAATGAGCCACCTTCCCAGCCCCTCTTTCTTATTTTTTTTTTTTGCCAATCCTGGGGCTTGAACTCAGGACTGGGAACTGTCTCTGAGCTTCTTTTGCTCAAGGCTATCACTCTACCACTTGAGCTACAGCACCACTTCCAGCTTTTTCTAGCACCAAGCCACATTCCCAGCCCTCTTGTGTTCTTTAATAAGCATATTTTCATATGTATCATCCTATGATTACAATTTTCATAATTATGTCCAAACATGATCCATTTTATTTCTTTTTGGTGCCAGTCTTGGGGCTTGAACTTAGAGCCTGTGTTCTGTCCTTGAATTTATTTTTTGCTCAAGGCTAGTGCTTTACCACTTGAGCAACTGCTCCATCTCTGGCTTTCTGGCAGTTAATTGGAGATGAGATTCTCATGGACTTTTCTTCCAGAGCTGGCTTTGAATTGTGATCCTCAGATCTCAGCCTTAAGAGTAGCTAGGATTACAGGCATTAGCTACTGATACCCTGCTTCTCATGAGCCTATTCTGTCTTCTCAAAAACCTTGCCAATCAGTAGAAAAAAGATTTTCATTTTCATTTTCATGTTACAGACAAGGACACTGAGAAACAGGATGCCTGTGGCCACAGAGCAAGTATAGAGCAAGCGAGAGAACACCTGGGGAGCTGTGTCTTGGCGGTAGAGGCTTTTCTGACGTATCTGATGCTTCTCATTCAGTTTCTGTCTCATGGGAGAAAATAGGGTAGGGAACTTGACATTAAAACATTCACGTATGCTAAGTAGAGTGGAACTACTTACTTCTAAATGCTTCTGCCCGAGTCTTTACCTAGAATTATAGACTGATTAAGAAATGTAGTATAGGATCTAGGGGTATAATTCAGTAGTAAAATGCCTGATTAGCATGAGCAAGGCCATGGGTTCAGCTTCCGATGCAACAAGAGCAACAGTAACAGCCACAGTCAAAAGTGTGGGAGGGAAGCCACACTATAGCTGAAAGGAAAGGAGGAAGGAAGCAGGGCCAGTCATTTGGGTACTATTGTAGAACTAACCAACCATGACCAACAAGAGACCAACTATGACCATCCAGAAATGGTTCTGGTAGAACCAGAAATATACTTTAAAAATCATAGTAATTATTCAAAATAGCTGCTAAGTCTTCCAGTTTTTACTCTGACATGTAACTTCTACCCTCATAACAACAATAAAACGTTGTAAAAATCACTTTTTTCAGATACATAAAAACTTTAGAGTGGGCTGGGAAGGTGGTTCAATGGTAGAGTGCTTGCCTTGCATGCATGAGGCCCTGGGTTTGATTTGTCAGCACCGCATAAGCAGAAAAGGCCAGAAGTGGAGCTTTGGTTCAGATGGTAGAGCCTTGAACTGAAGAGCTGAGGGACAGCACCCAGGCCCAGAGTTCAGGCCCCATGACTGACCAAAAAAAAAAATTAGAGTTAAAAACTCCTAAGGACCCAGCTTAAGAAGCCCTCACACTTTCCTTAGTTTTACCCCTGTTTGCTCACTGAAGGTAAGAGAAAAATATTGTTTTCCCAGAAGAAGTGAAAATGTAACCTTGTTGAAATAAACCTAAGAGCATTATCCACAATGATCTACCCAATAAAGATGAGCAAAACAAACAAAAATTGCCAGACCCTGTTCCAAACTTGGTGGAAGGGTAATTACACAACTCTAGCTCTCTCTGCCTTCCTATCTCACCTAAAATATGGGGTGGGGAGGGAGGAAGCACTTTTGAAAATCACAGTTTGCTAAAAGACTAGGACCTCATTATAGGATTATAGAATGGCTTCCCTTACTCCCACACCTTGTTACTACTTCAAGAGAGATTCTGTATAATAACAGTGGATTATAAGCAAAACAACTGCAAACCTCAGACTATTTTAAGGAGTTTCTAGGGAAACCTGAAAACAACAGAGGATACAATAACCAGGACACTAGAGGAAATTGAAGCCTCTCACATTTACTAGTATAGCAGACACGGCCTAACCATTAGCCACAAAACCATAATAATACTAAATCCCTTCATTGTACCAAAATATCTTTACTGTATAGTTTCTAGATATTGAGGCTCTAACTTGAATCATCTGCATGCTGACTACTAAAGCCACTTTTCTCTTTTGAACTTTCACACTTTTGTTTATTTTCTTTTTTGAATTATCAGGTCAGGAATTTAAAGTAACTATCAGTAATTGTATGCTTAGAATGATAATGGAAAAGGTGGGCATCATGTGGACTCAAATGTGTAACATGAGCAAAAGCAAAAACTTGAAGAAAAATAAAAAATGAAATCTAAGTATCAAAAACACTATTACAGAAATGAAGAATGTCTTTGATAAGCTCATTAATAGTATAGGCATAGACCTAGAACAAACCATGTTAAGTGAGGTAAGCCAAACTCAGAGTGTGCATGTATTATCTCATATGTGGAAACTAGATCTAAAATACAACTAGACATGTTAACTTATACAGAACTCCAAGCATTCACACACAGGCTAAAAGAGAAATACCCTTGTGGGGGGAACCCAAAGGTGTAACTTCTCTGAAAATTAAAATACTATTTATCACAATGAATTCCAGAAAATGGAAACATGAATGTTTTATTGTTCTTGCTGGTCATTAAGAGATGTCCTCAGAAAGATGGGAGGACATATAGATCAGACACTCAGGTATACAAAGCAAGGAATAGCATTAGAAATGAAATAAACAAAGATAGCTGGGCCCTGGTGGCTAATACCTATAATCCTAGCTACTCAGGAGGCTGAGATCTGAGGATCGCTGTTAAAAGCCAGCCTGGGCAGGAAAAGTCCTGAGACTCTTATCTCCATTAAACCACCAGAAAACCAGAAGTGGTGCCATGACTCCTGGTAGAGTGCTAGCTTTGAGCTGAAGAGCTGAGGGATAGCACCCAGGCCCAGAGTTCAAGCCCCACGACTGACAAAAAAAAGAAAAAAGAAAAAAAAAGAAACAAAGATATATATATATGTATATGTATAATTATTTTTTGTCAGTCGTGGGGCTTGGGCTCAAAGTCTAGGTGCTGTCCCTGAGCTTTTGCACTGAGGGTCAGTGTTCTACCACCTTGAGCCATAACGCCACTTCCAGTTTTCTGGGGGGTTAATTGGAGATAAGAATCTCAGGGACTTTCCTGCCTAGGCTGGCTTTGAACTGTGATCCTCAGATCTCAGCCTCCTGAGTCGGTAGGATCACAGACATGAGCCACCAGCATCCAGCAGTAACTATATTGTTGAAGGTAATAAAGGATGTGATAACATATGGATAAGTGAGATGAAAGGAAGCAAAATTATAGGGATGAGAGAAATAGAAAACACTCTGCTGTAAGGTGCATGCACTGCCCAAGAAATACTATAGTGTTATTTGAAAATGACTTAGATTAGTATTACAAGTACATTGAAAATTTTAGAGCAATTTGTATTCTTGTAAGTATAAGAAGTATAATTGTTTTGTTGTTATGTTGTTGCTGGTTGTTAAGAGATGTTTTCCAGAAAGATGGAAAGATATATAGATAAGACACTCAGAGGTATACAAAGCAAGGAATAGCATCAGAAAAGAAATAAAATATTATTCTTATTATTCTAATCTAATTTATGGTTCCAGTGGTAGAGTGCTACCCTTGAGCACAAAAGCTCAGGGAGAGTGCCCAGGCCCTGAGTTCAAGCCCCAAGACCAGCACAAAAAGAAAAAAACAATATATGTACTGCTTTCACTGAATCCAACAAATTTTTTCTTTTTTTGCCAGGGTTTTCTTTTTTACTGAGGCTTGAAACTCAGAACCTCATTCTTGTTCAGTTTGCCTGTTTGGTTGATGATCTACCTCTTGAGCCCTTCTCTGGCTCGGCTTTTTGTTGGTTATTTTGGAGATGAGGTTATAGACATGAGTCATCAACTCCTCCTCTGGATTTTTTTTTTGTGGGGGCTGGGGGGGGCAGGGTCGGTTGTTGGGCTTGAACTCTGGGCTTGGGCGCTGTCTTTCAGCTTTTCAGCTCAAAGCTAGCACTCTATCACTTGAGCCACAGTGCTACTTCCGGGTTTTCTGGTGGTTTATTGGAGATAAGAGTCTCACGGACTTTCCTGCCTGGGCTGGCTTTGAACAACAATCCTCAGATCTCAGCCTCCTGAGTAGCTAGGATTACAGGCAATGAGCCACCAGCACCTGGCCCTCCTCTGGTTTTTACTGAGCATTGTACATGATTCCATTTTCCTCTCCTGTAAGCATGTCAATTATACTTCTTCCCCCCAGTTGTGGGCTTTGAACTCTGAGCCTGGGTGCTGCCGTCCCTGAGCTCTTCAGCTCAAAGCGGGCACTCTACCACTTGAGCCACAGCACTGCTTCTGGTTTTCTGGTGGCTTTCACTTTCTGATGGTTAATTGGAGATGAGTCTCAGGACTTTCCTGCCCAGGCTGACTTTGAATGATCCTCAGATCTCAGCCTCCTGAGTAGCTGGGATTATAGGTGTGAGCCACTGGTACCCAGCTTAGAGAGAATTTCTCAAAATATAATTTCATTGTTATTATTAAAGTTGTACACAGAGGTTACCATTTCATAGTCAGGTAATGAGTAGTACATATCCTTTTTTGGACAATGTCATCTCTTCCTTTGTTTTTCCCATTTCCCCTTCCCATCCCTGAAAGTTACATAGTTCATTTTCCACATAATATATACTGAATAGCGTTTGTTCACTCTCCCTCCCTTTCTTTTCTTTTTTTTGGTCGGTCATGGGGCTTGAACTCTGGGCTTGGGCACTGTCCCTCAGCTCTTCAGCTCAAGGTGAGTGCTCTACCGCTTGAGCCACAGTGCCACTTGTGATTTTCTGGTGGTTAATTGGAGATAAGAGTCTCATGGACTTTCCTACCTGGGCTGGCTTTGAACTGCGATCCTCAGATCTCAGCCTCCTGAGTAGCTAGGATTACAGGTGTGAGCCACTGGCACCCAGCTCTCTCCCTCCCTTTCTGTACCTCTCTTTGCCCCTAAAAAACACAAAAGCAAAGCAAATACCACCACCACGACCAATAACAAAACACCTATATTTCCATTTCCTGGAATTTATATCAATAAATAATATTTTAAATTTTAGAGAAGTTACACTTTTGGGTTCCTCCCCCTACACGTGACTGTGTGTGAATGCCTAGAGTCCTGTATGGGTTATCATGTCCAGTTATACTTTATACCTAGCTGGGAATGTGGCTTAGTGGTAGAGTGCTTGCCTTGCATGCATGAAGCCCTGGGTTTCATTCCTCAATACCACATAAATAGAAAAAGCTAGAAGTAGCACTGTGGCTCAAGTGGTAGAGCGCTAGCCTTGAGCAAAAGAAGCTCAGGGACAGTGCCCAGGTCCTGAGTTCAAGTGCCAGGACTGGCAAAAAAAATGTTGTTACATTATAGAGATAGTAAAAGAGGAGCGTGAGGAAGGAGAAGAGAGATATATAGGTGAAACAGGGTTTTTAGGATAGTGAAAATATTTTATACAATCCAATAATGGTACATACATACATTACATATATGTTTAAAACCCATTGAATTATTTATGCAATAGGAAGATAATGTATACAAAGATGATAATTAACTATGTATCAACATTCATTAATTGTAACAAATGCATGACCCTAAGGCAAGATGCTGGTAGTAGGGAAAACTGAGGGTGAAGGTGGTGGTGGGTAAAGGTGGAAGTAGAAAGGAACTCTATCTTTGCTCAATTATGCTATAAATTAGAACTTATAGCATAATTTAACATTTTTAATTTTACTAATTTAAAAACTGTTGACTAACTCAATATAACACTGAAGTTAAAGTCCTCAGCTGCCTCTAAATGTTGACCAGCTGGGGGCTTTGTGTACTATCCAGGGTTACATGGCCATCATCTTGGTGAAATTCTGTATTAGAGTTCTTGGTAACTCAAATTCTTGAAAGTTTTAGTTCACACAGCCAGTATTAAGAAGCCCTTAATAATACTTTTTCCTGGTTAAGTAGGGTTCTGGTAAATAGTACATATAGTCCTTGGTTGTTAGTAATGATGGTACTCAGTGGGATGCATATGAATTTCCTGTAATAGCCAATGAGGGGCTTGGCATTGTGGACCAGATCTGTGACCCACTGAGGAACACATTCCTGCACCATGTGATAAAAACATCTGACCATCAGTGCTGTGGTGAAGCAAGCAAGGATGGGGAGATGGGAGCTCTGCTGTTTCCTGAAGAATTCTAACTGTAGCACTGAGAGAATCTCTTCTAGCAACTGCAGGATTGGTTCAGAAATAGAAATCTGTCATACCCAAGCCTTGGGGCTTTGGCTTTGTGCTGACACTCTATGTCTTCCATTTTGCTTCTGTGGCCCATCTTTTTTACTGGTAGATATTACAGAAATGCCAATATTTACTAACTGGGACTTCCTCTGTGCTATGTCCACAGACCACCCTTCCATTCATATTGGACTTCCACTTTCCAGTTACTCGAAAAGAAAAGGTGACCAGAAAGGACACCCTTCAGGCCTGCAAAAAGTTCATTGGGGTCTTCAGCCAGACAAGATACAGCAGGAATTGACCAGCCCAGGAAAAGGGACCAGCAGTCAAGGGGGCCGCATGGATCTTATCAGCAGAACTCGTGAGTGCTCAGGAAGATTGGGTGCATTTTGGGAAGCCATCCTGTTAATGGGTTCAGATAAGCAAGTCAAGGTAGGATTTGGGTAATTCTGTACCATGCTCTAGCTCTTTGATCTTTGCTTTGTAATCTAAAGATGGGATAACAATATCCCCCTTTTAATCTTGGAATGAACACTAATTGAGAAAATGTATCCTTTATTTCAAACTGTATTTTGGAACTGTCATAATTTAAACAGCATAATTTAAACTATCATAATTTTATAAGATGTGGGTAATTCTCCGCTAGGACTTTCAAATCAGTCCTCTGTTCCACTCAACTGCTGACTAACCTGCCTGCGCATTGACAGCCAAAAGCCTCTGTCTCTCTGTTAATTTGGACACCTTTGATCTGATCCATTCTGTGTAGGCCTCATGGTTTAATTCTTAGAATTATTTCTCTCATTTCTAAATTCCTAGGGGCCATGTGACCATTGCTCTAAGAACAAATATGAGTAGTGTGAGGTAAACTTTCTTCCCTTGAGCTCAAAGGAATGGGCAGAATTTAGTAACCTTGAATTATAGGGACGCTTTCTTCTAGGACAGCCCTCTTACCTCACCCACCATCCGCTCTCTACTCTTGAGGAAATCAGTTATGGGCTAACTAAAAGTATTTTGCCAGGTGCTGGTGGCTCATGCCAGTAATCGTAGCTGCTTAGGAGGCTGAGATTTGAGGATCACGGTTTGAAGCTAGTCTGGGCAGGAAAGTCTGTGAGTGAAACTAATTTCCAATTAACCACCAAAAAGTCAGAAGTACAGCTGTGTCTCAAGTGGCAGAGCACTCACCCTAAAGCAAAAGAAGCTCAGGGATAGTGCCTAGGCCACACACACACACACACATACACACCACCACCACCACCACCACCACCAGTATTTTGCTTCTTTCTGTGAAAAGAAAATTATTGTTTTTTTTTCTTTTTCTGTGCCCATCTTAGGGCCTCCTGAGTAGCTAGGATTACAGGTGTGAACAGCTGGCACCCAGATACCATGCTGTTTTAATTAGGATAGCTCTAAAATACAGTTTGAAATCAGGGATACATTTTCTCAGGTTCATTCCAACATTAAAAGAGGCATGTTGTTTTCCCATCTTCAGATTAGAAAGCCAAGGTAAGAGCTAGAGCACGGTGTAACTGGTAATCTTGCAGCAGGAAAATTAAAACAGATCTTTCTATGGTGCTATGTTCCTTTGTAAGATATCAGTAGTCATTTTACAGACACCATATTGGACATGGGCTGAGAATTGCATTCTTTCAAGTAACAAAATTGCATTATGATGAACCAGAGAGGTAGGGAAGGGAATAATATAGCATATTCTCTTTCCCTCTCCCTCTCCTTCTTCCTCTTTTCCTTATCATATCCTATTCCAAGGGTGGATATTATTTAGAAATTCACTTCTTAGCAGTTAAACAGATTTGCCTCAGTCAAAGTGTATATAAGGAATAGAACCACGAAGAAATAGTGAGAATCAATAAGAGCAAACAAGACAAAGTTAACCAATAGCCAAGACCAATTGGGGAGACCCTGGAAACTCAGCATCCTCATCTGTCAGATAAAGGATTATGTAAGGTACCCAGTTGTCTCAGCCTGCTTAGGACAGAGGGATCTCCAATAATGAGGGAAGACAAGATTTTTGGTGTTAAACCTTGTCAGTCCCCAGAAATCTAGATGTAGGAGAATCTTGATTTGAGGCTGGACCTGGGCATAGGCTTAAGACCTTATTTGAAAAATAAAAGAGGGCTAAGGGTGTGCCTCAAGTAATAGAGTACCTGCCTGCCTAGTAAACACAAAGCCCTGTACAAACCCTAGTACTACTACTACTACAAAAAAAAAATCCAGGCTTGGGTCACATGGCCAATTAACTGCTCCTGATCCAATTAACTGTGACCAGGGGCATAAGTCATGTGTTATCCAAAGATAGACTCCAGGGGGTAATCCTTGTGGGAGTTCAGGACATGACCTGGGTAGAGATTTCCAAAGCCACCTAGAACTGGAGGAATTTTCATAAGCTTAAGTGGGCAGATTTTTTTTCCTCACTGATGTTTATATACAACTTCAGAGAAAAAGATCATCATTACCCATGAAAACAGGACCTGAGGCTTCCATGTCCTCTCTTGAAAACCCACTTTACAAAAACTGGCAAGAAAGACCTGACACCCTCAGGTCTATCTCTTGCACTACAGCATTCTGTGTCCTCGAGCCATGCACAGACTGTCCCCACCTGCACCGCTCTCCTCCCACACCCCTTCCACTTCTTCATTCCTGGCTTCTGTCTTGCAGCAACTATTTCCATCTGATGTGCTTATGAGTGTTGAATCAGCCAGACTCACTCACCCAGCAAATAGTTATCTATCTATCTATCTATCTATCTATCTATCTATCTATCTATCTATCTATCTATCTATCTATCTATTTATTTAGTGTTGGTTGTGGGGCTTGAACTCTGGGCCTGGGCCCTGTCCCTCAGCTCTTCAGCTCAAGGCAAGCACTCTACCACTTGAGCCACAGTGCCACTTCCAGTTTTCTGAGTGTTTTGTTGGAGATAAGAGTCTCACAGACTTTTCCTGCCCGGGCTGGCTTTGAACTGTGATCCTCAGGTCTCAGCCTCCTGAGTAGCTAGGATTACAGGTGTGAGCCACCAGCACCCGGCTCCAGCAAATATTTATTGAGAGCCCATGTTGTGTGATCTCTGAGGGCCAGAAGTGTGGCCCTGACCTTACAAAGTTGACTGTTCAGTAACTCTACGTAGAGCCTAGGACAGAAGGGATCTCTGAAAGGACTCATCCCAGACTGGGGGCCATGAGATGCACTGACTTTATTTATGGTGACCATAAATGCCTCTCGAGTCTTTTTCTAGGACTTAAAGTCTATGCTACTTGCTGGTTTTCAGTCCACTTGCTGGTTTGTGCACTGCTCATGCAGCAATTTGTCATTCAGTAACAACACCATTCTCTGTACTTCTTTTAGTTGCTTCCTAAAGCTCACCCCTGCCAAGCTTATATTTCTCTCAGCAATGGCTGACTAAGTCCATTCCTACAGTTGCACTCATGCTATATGTCTTCCACAGTTATGGAACAGGAGGGTTATTTCCTGTGGCATGTCATTATGTAGATTAGCTTGGACATGTTCAAAGCTAGCCCAGGCAGGAAAGTCCATGAGACCGAAGTAGAGCTGTGGTTCAAAGTGGTAGAGTGCTACACTTGAATGAAAATCTCAGGGACAGCACTTAGGCCCTGAGTTCAAGCCCCATGACCAACAACAACAAAAAAGAAACTGATGCAGAAGCCCAGCCTGAGGGCAGGAAAGGAGGGGCATTGAGAGAAGAATGGCCAGGAACAGAGGGGCAGGGAGCACATGGAAGCAGCAGGATGGTTTAGAAACTGAAAAGGATTGTGATTTGCAATGTTTGGGAAGGAGCAGGCTAGTAACTAGGTAGTAAAAGAGGAGCGGGTCACACATACAGAAAATGATAGTGTTATCATACCAGGTGACTGGTATATGCCAAGCATTGTGCCAGCACATTATACTGTCTCAGTCCCTCCACAATCCAGAGAGGTGATGTGATTTTTCCCAATTTATAAGTGAAGAAACTAAGGTTCATGGATTAATGCCTCATCAAGATACCACTGCTAGTAATGACAGCATCAGGAGCTGAACCCAAGTCTGGGTTCATATAGTACATGAACAGAGTTCTGGCATCCTTGGCAATCTTTCTGTGTGAAGTTCCCCTAGCCTCTGACTTGAAGTGGCTTCCTTGCAGCACTTGGAAAGGGCTGAGCCTAGCCAGCCACAGGGTAGTAGGATCCCAGCTTTTACTGTTCACCAAAGCAGAAACTCGGACGGTAACTGCTGCAGGAGTGTAGGTGGCTTTGCTTAGAGCCCAGCATGGAGCCCAGCATTCAACACATGACTCTTCCTTCCTTCCTTCCCTCCTTCCTTCCTTCCTTCCTTCCTTCCTTCCTTCCTTCCTTCCTTCCTTCCTTCCTTCCTTCCCTCCTTCCTTCCTTCCTTCCTTCCTTCCTTCCTTCCTCCCTCCCTCCCTTCCTCTTTCCCTCCCTCCTTTCTTGCTTTCTTGCTTTCTTTCCCGTGGGGCTTGAACTCTGGGTCTGGACACTATCCCTGAGCTCTTCACCTCAAAGCTAGCACTTTCCTGCCAGGGCTGGCTTTGAACTGCAATCCTCAGATCTCAGCCTCCTGAGTAGCTAGGATTACAAGCATGAGCCACCGGTGCCCAGCACAACACATGATCTGGATCCCCTGTTTTTGTTTCCTCATTTTTTAAGTGGGCCTGCTTTAACCTCATACTTCAGGCATGAAAATGTAGTCAGTGGAGCCAGCCACAGGCAGGGTAGAGTAGAGGATGGCTGAAGGAGCTGGCTTTTTCCAGGCTCTACTCTCCTGCTGTGGGGCTCAGTTTTCTCATCTGTGAAATGAAGGTTTGGACTAAGCTCTCTCCCAGCTCTAAGATTTAGTGTATTTAAGATTTGCAGGTCCTTGGAACAGCAGCTGCTCGCTGACCTCTAATCAACCTTGGCATATTCTAAGTCCTCAGTAAGCACTTGCTGAACCAAACCCAGGGGATTAGGAATTTCTCAGAGGAGCAAAGTAATTCCCTAGTGGGGTTCCTGAAGTAACCACTTTCCACCATCCATGGGCTCTGGGAAAACACCCATTGAGCAGTAACGGGTGGCACTTTATCTTCCACGTGGGTGAATAGGAAGAAGACCCAGAGTTTGGGTTTAAAGTTGGGAAAGGAGAGAAACCAGCCAAAAAGGAACACTATTGACATGGCTTTTTGTGATGAGGCCCCGCTGCAAACATTTCCCTCCAGCAATCCACTCTCAACCCAGGGGCTGGAACTGTACCACTGAGTGAACAGGAGCCACTATCCAGCTAGCTCACCTGTGGCCAACGCTCTTAAAGAGGCCTGAGGAATCACAAGCAAACCTTAAATCCTACTGCTGCCTTTATAAAGGAGCCTGAGGAGAGGTGCCTGGGTTCTTCTGGAGCCCTCAGGTCTGGGAGGAAGGATGCAAGAAGGAGGGGGTAGAGGGCCAGCTCTGCTAGTCCTCTCACAAGTCTGAGCTGCCCTCCACCCATGCTGCTGTGGAGAATCAGCTTTTTTGCTTGAGCTTCTACTGCAGCCCTGAGCTCTTTTGTCTCCAATATCCTGAAATCTCTGCTTTCCTTCTCCTTCTATTCCATCCTCACATCACACAGACAGACAGACAGACAGATAGACACACACACACACACACACACACACCACTCACAAGATCTTTAATTTATTCAATCATTTTTCTGTCACACATGTTTCACAATCTTTTATGCTTACTATATCTTTATTCTCTTTACATACTGGCCCTCCCTCCATCTCCCCAGTCTCTTTCTTCTTTTACTCCTCCTTCTCTTCCTCCTCCTTCTCTCTCCACACCTCCCCCTGGCTGCTTAACTGGAAACAAAAGTGAGTTTGTTGTATGAGGAAAGGGATCTGTGGAGGCAGCAGCCAGGATAGCAGCAGCAGAAACAGGCTGGGGCCAGGAGCAGCACTGACCGCCAGAGATTCCAGCACTCAGCTATTCCAGGGAGCAGGTAATGACCAGACAGGCTGGTTCCAGCCAACTGCTCTTGCCTTGTCTCTTCTCTCCATGATCTGTCCATGTATTTGTCTTCATTCTGGCCCTAACGGGGAAGAGCATTCCAGACTTGTTGAATGGTAGGCACAGGGCCCAAGGAGGATATATTCCAAAGAACAGGATGTGGTCAAAATGGGCAGTGGCCAGAGAGGGTTGGGGTCAAGGACTACAGGTGACCAAGGTTTCTGAGTTTCAGGGCTGCTGGGTGAGAGATACACCAGAATCTAGAAAGACAGGAGCATAAGAGATGTTTTGAGCCATATTAACCACTATAGGCTTTAGGCAATGAACCACCATGGAAAAATTTTCACTTGGACAGTAATATAATCAAATCTACATTTTAAAAGTAGTTATGAGCCAGGCACCACTGGTTTGTAGCTATAATTTTAGCTGAGGATCTGAGGAGGTTGAGATGCAGAAGAGATCTGGGTTTGAAGTCAGCTTAGGCAGAAAAGTCCAAGACTTCATGTCCAAATTAACCAGCAAAAAGCTGGGCTGAAGGCATGGATTAAGTGATAGAGTACTAGCTGAGCAATCAAGCTAAGCAAGCAAGAAGCCCCAAACTCCAGTACATGAAAAATAATGTAGTTATGGAGGGTAGGGGGTGTGTGGCTCAGTGGTAGAATTGGTAGAGTGCTTTACCTAGCATTTGTTAAGGTTCAATCCCTAGCATTAAAGGACAGATGAGAAGGAAGGTAGGAAGGCAGGGAGGTAGGGAAGTATGGAGGGTAGTTACTGAACTGCGATTCCATGGAGAATTGGTATAACCCTGTCAGAATCAAGCCATAATGGGTATGATTTCTCCCAATTTGAAGAAAAAAAATTTTCTCAATTGTTGATTTCCTTCTACAAGATTCCTTAAACCTTCAGTATCTTCTAGCAAATGTCAGTAATCAATAAGCCAATGAGAAGGAAATGTTAAAAATAATAATAGCTTTGGAAATAAGATCTGCTTCAATAAGGTCCCTTAACCTATATTCAGAGAAAGTAAGTGTTTTTTTTTTTTGGTTAATAAAACTATTTATAATTCATGTACTGATTTTCTGGTGCTTCCCAAAGAATACTATGACTCCCAGGAGTCATGAAAATTTCTTTTAAAGCAAACTGAGCCAGGCATGCTGGTGTGTTCTAGAAGGAAGAGGCAGGAAGATCATGAATTCTGGGCCATCCTGAGCTACAAAGTAAGATCTTATCTTACAAAATATATATAAATATGAACAAACAAACTGTTATCTAGGCCATTGGAATGGTTAGGGCACCCAGAAACAATGGGAGTAGTAGGCAAATGGATAAAACCAAGGGTTATGCAGGAGGATGGATTTCTTTTTTCTTTTTTGGTTGGTAATGGGGCTTGAACTCTGGGCCTGGGCGCTGTCCCTCAGCTCTTCAGCTCAAGGTGAGTGCTCTACCACTTGAGCCACAGCGTCACTTCTGGTTTTCTGGTGGTTAATTGGAGATAAGAGTCTCACAGACTTTTCCTGCCCAGGCTGGTTTTGAACCTTGGTCCTCAGATCTCAACCTCTTGAGTAGCTAGGATTACAGGCATAAGCCACTGGCGCCTGGCTAGGAGGATAGTACACAGAAGTATTAAATGAGAAGAATCTAATGGATCTCATTCTTTAAGGCTTTTATTTTCTTGGAGAGGTTGTGTCAGAGATGGATCACGAAACTCAAGAGCCAAGGTTAGAGTAAGGACGTTGAGTAGCATAGGGAAGGGTGCTGACAAGGGTGAGTAGAAGGTTTCTGTACTTGAGCCTTGCCAAAGACAGTAATCTCCCATTTGCAAAGTTGAGTGGTTTTCTGCAATGGGGTTCATTCCTGAGTCTAGGTGCTGGGGTTGACGGTGATGGTAGTTATGCACCTGCTATATTACAGAGGTATAGAGAGGATCTGTTTGGTTCAGTCTTCATCTCTGGAATTGTGTCTGACAGTTGTAGGGGAGGAAGGATGAATAGCAAGCTTCTAATCATCTATATATGAATTTGAATTGTAGAATTGCCAGTTATTTATGAGACAGTTTAGTTTAAGTGAACAGGGTATTGAGAGAAACAAATCAGGTAATGAGAATAAAATACCTACTCTTTTAGCTTTTTCTTTTATTGGCAGAGCTGAGGACAAAACTTAGGGCCTTTACTTGATAGGCAAGTGCTTTTCCACTGAGCTAAATCCCCAACCCCCCTAAATTCTCTTAGAACATAGCAAGTGCATAGAGATTCCAAGAATACAGCTCTTGCTCGCCAACTCATTACCCTTCCCTGGTTCAGTCTCCTGTCAACTCTTCACAAGTTCTCATCAAATCTTCCCTTTCTGTTTCTTATCTCTCAGTTTACTACCTGCTGTTCTCAATTGTTTCTCTCAGTGGGCTCCCAGGGGTCAATTTCACCCCCTTTTCACCACACATTCTAATATCCTTCTCTTTAACTGTCTTAATAAATTAGCCAGCCATTGCCCAAATAAGAATCCATTGGCCTAAGGACAGGAGCCATGGCTCCATAGTAGAGTGTGTGCCTAGCAAGTGGGAGGCCCTGAGTTCAAACCTCAGTACCTCTCTAATATGGAGGTAGAGGTGGGGGAAGAGGTGAGGTGATGGTAACTTCAGGGCGCCTGGCCTGTGCAGTGGTGCCAGAGAGGCCTTTAGCCCAAGTATTGGTAACCACTGTGACATCAGTCATCCTTCTTCCCAGATCACCATGTTGCAGCCACACTAACCAGCACATTCCTATCTCAAGATGTCAGGACCCTTGGGCATTCTTCTAGATGTGTAGAAGTGGTTCATTCTCATCGTTCATGCCTCAGTTCAAATACCATTCCTCAGAGAGGCCTTTCTTCACCATGTTATCTCCTGTAGCTCTCCTGGACATTGAGTTTTTCTCAGGGCACTTATCATGACCTGCAATGGTCATTTATGGGTTTGTTTACTTGTTTATTATTTGTCTCTAACACTAGAATGTAAACTTAGGAGAGAGAAGACACATGGATCTTCTTCATAGCTGTATTTCCAATACCTAGAACAGTGTCTGTGTGACACATGGGAGGCATTCACTCACTATTGGGAAGAAGAAAGGAAGGGAGGGAGGGAAGGAAGAGAGAGAGAGTGAGAGGGAGAAGCAGATTTGAGGAAAAGACTTTCAGTGATAGAATGCTGAACATTTGTTTTTTATTGTTATTGTAAAGGTGATGTACAAAGGGGTCACAGTAAATTTCTTTTTGGACAATGTCACCCCTTCCCTCACAATGTTAAGAATTACTTTAAGATATCTGAGAGACAGACACTCAGAAATGGCACCCCAGGCGACTTCTAGTGGGCCTCTGGAGAGCAGGAACGGAGTGACCTTACCATGAGGAAGGTGGGCCCCTATGGTACAGTGGTACAAATCTATGCTTTTGAAAGGTTGAGTGTCCCCTTGGGAATTGACTGGTGTGGAGCCCAGCCGGGAAGAGGGCCCCTTGGGGTTTTTCATGCTAAAGTCAGGTTGGAGTGATTCCCACTTCAGCTTTCTTTTCTGTTCCTGGTTCTTGCTGCTGCCCTGACTTTGGCTATTTTCCATCCTTCTTCACTGTCAACTACAAGACCCTGGAGTCAAAATGAAGATCATATCATTTTATCTCTTTTATCTCAAAGGAGATCTCACCCATGTCCAATCCAAAGTGATGTCAGAAGCTAGACTTAGTTCCATCAGTAAAGTTGGTGGTCCAAATGATTTCTAGTGGGCCACTGGTAGACCAGGCAGAGGGATACCTTTCATTTGTTGTTAGTACCTGCTGTATTTCTATTGGCCTTGTGGCCCCCTGCCTTCCACAGAGCACTTCATGGACCCTGAAAGCTTCCTTTTACAGGGTCTCCAGCTGCTGAGCAGCTCCAGGACATCCTGGGGGAGGAAGATGAGGCTCCCAACCCCACCCTCTTCACAGAGATGGACACGCTTCAGCATGATGGAGACCAGATGGAGTGGAAGGAGTCAGCCAGGTAAGACAAAATCCCAGGAGGGAGGTAGGAGGTAGTGGGACTTTCCCTGAAGGGTGTCCAGGGCTCAGGCTACACTGATCCTCCTGGTGGGAGTTGGCGCCTTGAACCTTGAGTTCTTCCAGGAAGCTTAGTGATCCACAAAGACCCTCCTACCTGCCTTTCTTGGTGTCTAGAACTGTGTTAGACACAAAGGAACAGGCATAAATGACCTTGTCTTTATCTTCAAAAAATAAAAATTCAAGTGAGAAGATAGAAGAGTCACTCATATGATTCTAGAAGAACAATAAGAAATACGTATATACACACATACATACATACACATACATGTAACATTTAAAGTCAAATGTTTTTAATTAAATGCTGTAGAAAAAAAGGTTTCCTGGAAGAAAAAGACTGTGTGTCAGGCACACAAAATCTGAGCAGAAGGGAAAATACAGATGCAAAGGTCTAGTGGGACACTGAAGAAAAGAGACTTGGCAAAGTTTGGAGATTAATAAACAGAGTGAGCTTCAGAGGTGTAGGCATGGAGGAAATCATGGGGAACAGAAGGAATAGGAGATCCAGAAAGCTTGAGGGAGAACCACACAGTGAAGTCACAGAAACTGACAAAGGACCTGAGTAAGGAGTTCTTGGCACTACCCATATCCCCAGTGCCTAGGACAGCACTGAAATAAACTTCTTCCCATGGGAAGGGAGGAAATTATAAGAGCAGCAGGAAGGACTCCAGGATGATGCTGAGAAAATTTGGAAGGCAGTCTGTGTTAATGTTTTACAAACTTTCTTACTGTATTTCTCCTCTCCAAGAGGAAACTATTAAGTTAAAAATGAATTTAACTAGTTGGGAACTGTTAGCTCATGCCTATAATCCTAGCTACTCAGGAGGCTGAGATCTGAGGATCCATAATTGAAGTTAGCCCAGGCAGGAAAGTTCATGAGACTTTTTTTTGGCGGGGGGGTCCGGTTGTGGGACCTGAACTCTGGGCCTGGGCACTATCCCTCAGCTCTTCAGCTCAAGGCTAGCGCTCTACCACTTGAGCCACAGTGCCACTTCCCGGCTTTTTCTTTTTGTTTATGTAGTGCTGAGGAATCGAACCCAGGGCCTCATGCATGCAAGGCAAGCGCTCTACCACTGAGCCACCTTCCCAGTCCTCCATGAGACTCTTACATCCAGTTATCCACCAAAAGCCAGAAGTGGAGCTGTGGCTCAAGAGTAGAATACCGACTTTGAGCAAAAAAGCTCAGGGACAGTACCCAGGCCCTGAGTTTAAATGCTAGTACCAGCACACAAAAAAAAAAAGAAAGAAAAGAAAAGAAAAAGAAAAAGAAAAGAAAATTAACGCATTTTTAATGAGAGAAATTAAATGGAAAGGAATGAGTTTGTCAAATAGAATTGAGTTTTGGACTACTGCAAAACCTTAGTAGTTGGTGCCAGCTAACATTTTGCTCCTCTAAGAACTAGTTTCTGTTCCCTGGGAGGCAATAATGACCTTGTTGAAAATGCATGGGACTAACTCCCAGGTATGCCCAGAACTGGTTCTGCTTGAGGGCCACTCTGATACCTAGAGTCTGATAGCTCGCTCAAGGTATGTCTTGGGTTCTTTCCTCACCCATCTCCCTTCCTGGCCTCAACAATCGGTAAGAAAAGAAGGAACAGATTTCATTTCAATAACGCAAGTTTTCTTGCTTTTTCTTTCCTGTGGGGGTGTCTGAGAGAAAAGTCACAGGGCGGACTAACAAAGGCCTGCAGCCCTCAGGGAACCATGAGCCCTCTGCCCTACACATGAGCCTCTGGAGCCTTTTCCCTTCAACTTGTTTATTGAACTCTGACATGATTTATAGTCTCATTTCATTCAAGCACCTCAGCCATTTCTCTACTTGACTTCAACTTTCAGGAACTGTTTGGACTTCTAAGGTAGGATGTAGGTCTGGAGGCAATTCCATTGAAGTTGGAGATAAATGAGGACTACTGAAAAGCCTAAGACATCTACTCAGGGTTTATAGGAGGACGGACTTTTCAAATGACCAGTTTCTAATCCCAGCTATTATGGCTTAACACCTTCCAGGGGCTGGGGCCTGAAGCCACTCTCTGCTCTGGGTAAGAGTCTATTCTGCCTGAGGTGGGTGAATAGAAGGGAGGAAAGCTAAAAAGGGTCTTCTTAGAGTCCTACGACAGACATGGCCACCACAAGAATACCACAGACCAAGCACACCCTATTTCTGTTCTCTCTATGAGATTCCACAGAGCCCTCTAAACTAGAGACCAGCAATTGAAATGTGAACTGTAGGGTGTCTGTAGGAAGAAATGCCTATTAAATTACAGTTATCACCTTCAAGTACATAGGTTTTCCTATAAGGCAGGCTCTCTGAAGACAGTATGTGAGAAGACTCTGAAAGGGCCTCAGGGGTAACTGGCTCAAATCCACATACAAGGATAGCAGGGACCAGAACTCCAAATGGCTGAACTCAATTTTAATTTCAATCAGATCCTAGAGGGGAGTAGCTGAGGGCCAATTAGGGGGCAGGAAACAGTGGGAAGAGGGAAAGAATATATGAGGGTCTTCACATCTCTACTCCCTTTTCTATATTCTACTCTACCTTCCTGTAATCTTCTGTCCAACTAAATCTGTCTGGTTTTCAAGGTATGACCAGTTGGTCATACCTTGAGAGATGCTGGAAGAGGAACCATTGGCCTAAAAGTCTACCCTGATCTGGACGTGTATGGCTTGCCCAAGCCATACTTGTAGATAAACAGCAAGAATAGAGATGACTAGCCAGACCTATTTGGGCCTATCACCCTGTCAAAAGAATGTGAAGAACTGAGAACATGTCGGTTCAAGCCTGTGTGGGAGGTGGAGATCAGAGTATTGCAGTTTGAGGCCAGCTCAGAGGTGGGAGCGGGACTGGGGGAAGTATATAAGACAAGATTCCATCTCAATTAATGCCTGCATGTGGTGGTGAGAGCCTGTTAACCTAGCTATTTAGGGGAAGCTCAGTGGGTAGGCTGGATGCAGTTATTTGTGCTTGTTATCCTCAGAGACACAGGGAACACAAGCAGAATTGCAGCCCAGGACAGCCTTAGAATAAAGCAAAGGCAAAAAGGACTGGAGATGTGGGTCAAGTGGTAGAGCCCAGCAAGTACAGTCTCCAGTACCAACACCCCAAAGAAAAACAAAATAATAGTGTGAATCCTGTCCTCAGTTAATAGACTAGTAAACTGTAGACCCACCCCAGAGAAGCCAGAGGTATCAGAATCTAAGAATCAGTAAATTCTCCTTGGGGTAACAGAAGAGAATAATGGGGAGTGGGAGACAACCTCTCACACACACATTCAAGCCCTGGGAAGTTAAGAACTCATAACACCCACATCAAAGAGAATACTTTTAATAAGAGGGGGAGCCCTTTAATAAAAAAATATTTAATTTGTTGTGGCAAGTGTTTGCTTTATTGAGTTAGGAGATTAAGCAAGTGAAAATCTCAAATCCTCAAGGAATTTTCCCTGGCAGAGTAGGGGTGGGAGGGAGTAACAGTTTGGGGGATGTTTCATTTTAGGCCCTTGGAGAAGTCAGTCCTGCTGATTTAAGTGGCTTTTTGAGTTCTGCTGAGCCTTGCCCCATGCACATAACAAGGACTCTGTGTGCAGGGTCATTTCTAATGTGATCAATGCTGGTAGGTCAGCTGTTAATAAGATAGATTTTCACTAACACTGTCTCTTTAGCATTCCCACGAGAGAAAAGCAGCCAGCTGTTTGCTGACAATGACCTTGCCTAAAGCGAGGGCTGGGTCAGGAAGATGTACAGGGAGCAACCCCCTCACTGTGAGCAAACAACTTGCCCAGATTCCTGGCCTTTCTCAGGTTTGCCTGACTGTACAGAAGAATGATCCAGGTTGGAACCCACCCAAGTGTGGAGGGCTCTTTGTGGTTACTCAGGAATAAACAGAGCTTAGCACCTTCCAAAAGCTCTGAAAGCAAATTCCAAATCCAATCTTCTCTGGCCTCAACTCAGAGCAGCCCAAGAGCATAAACTTGCCAGAAGGTTCTTATGAGACACATATGAGAACATTCCTGTGATGTCAAGGTGAGGGCAGAAAGAGGAGCATGAGAAGTGGATCATCCAGTTGGGTCAAAACAGACCAAAAGCTCTGAATGGCTCTCCATATGTAGGCAGGAACACTTTTTCACTCCATAGATGATGGAAGAGAAAGGTTCAACTTTCTCAACCTTGAACTTGATCCCATTTAAAATCTCATATAATGCCCTCGGAGTCATTTTCCTGCTTGGCATGGGGAAGAATGCATCCCCACATCTCTGATCTCAACACCTATCTAGAGTCAACCTTAGGTGAGGGCAGAACTGCCGTAAAGCAAAGTGGGAAGCTAAGAGCGTTCAGTGCAAAAGTCAACAAACTTAATTCATTCAGTTAACATTTACTAAGTTTTTACAATCTACAAGCAAGGTTTTTTTGTTTTTTGTTTTTTGTTTTGGGTCCGGTCGTGGGGCCTGAACTCTGGGCCTGGGCGCTGTCCCTCAGCTCTTCAGCTCAAGGCTAGCGCTCTACCACTTGAGCCACAGCGCCACTTCCAGCTTTTTTTCTTTTTGCTTATGTGGTGCTGAGGAATCGAACCCAGGGCCTCAGGCATGCAAGGCAAGCGCTCTACCACTGAGCCACCTTCCCAGCCCTGTTTTTTGTTTTTTTTACTATCTACAAGCCCTGAGCCAGGTACTAGAGATTAAAAATGGACCATGGCAAATGTCATCCTTGTTCAATTTGGCTCTTGGTTCAATGGAACATATGAACAAAGTAGTTGGCACTTCAGTGCTGTGACGGAACAGCACAGGGGTATCTATCCCTGACAGGGAAGTATCAAGTGTCTAGGCTTCCAAGAGGAAGATCTAAAGGGTGAGTCAAAGTTAGCTCAGAGTTAGCAGACAGGGCAAAGAAGATAAACAATCACATTGAGGAACAGGCAGGCTTGTGGCCAGACTGCTGTGTAAGAGCTGA